TAAAATTTAATCCCAAACAATTTTGGAATTTTTCAAATCGCCATCAAATAAATCAACACTACCTGATACCATGACCCTAGCTGACTCGACATTTAAATCATCAAGGACGTGATGAAGCGGATGCTTTAAACAAATTATTTGCCTCTGTGTTTCTTCCTCGTCCCAAAAACCCATGTTTTCTTCCATCCAACACTACTGTTTCTGCAACTCCAACTGAGTTTTCTGATGTTTCGGTTGATCGAAGAAATTTGTCGTCTGCTAAATAATCTATCGACATCGAATGCTACGGGTCCAGATGGGATATCGGCAAGATTATTAAAGAAATATTCGGAAGTGCTTGCTCCATCTCTTACTGCATTATTTAATAAATCAATTGCTCTCGGCAAAGTTCCTGGAGATTGGAAGTATGCAAACATCGTTCCCGTTCCCAAAAACGACAAAACTCACATTGTCAGTAATAACGTCCATGCAATTTCATTATCTTTCGTGTCTAAAGTTTTTGAACTTGTGGTCCATAACCGAGTCTTAGATATTATCAAACCTCTTTTTCATGACCAACAACGTGACTTTCGTTTGGGAAAATCTTGCATTACATTCGTACACACCTGTGTTATGGCAGTGAAATTTGGGCACCCCAAACAACATCTATAGGGACCTTCTTTGTCTAGAAAATGTCCAAAGACGAGCGACCAACAGGGGCGGCGCTAACCCTCTTCGCGTGTGGGGGGGGGAGTCATTTTTGCCGACTGTTTGGTAATTTTGCCGAGTCATTAGCCTATAGTAAATGTGCATGTTTAAATGCGCTTTATTACCCTCTTTTAAGCCGGTTTGACTAGTGAATTTTTCAATCCATTTTGCCACGTCTTGCTGTCCTAATAAGTGATACCGACAAAGGAAAAAGGTCGCTTCGCGCGAGAAAATTCGCTAGTGGAAAACCGACTCGTATTGCCTCTTTTATAGAACAGTAATAAGCAACAACAACAACCAAACAAATTTAATTACCTAATTATAATGTCAATAATATTATGTTTTTTGACTGAAAGCAACCTCATACCCAGGCTCTTTCCACTACGCGCCTCGCTGGAGGAAAGACCCTGGTCCAGGCAGGTCACGTGTCGATTTAGGGGGATAACAATTGGGACCCTAAGTCCAGGCCCTAAATTAGGGCCTGAACTTCAGGTTAGGACTTAAGGCTATTTCCACTCAGGAATATTATTCGTGGATTGAAACGGACAAGAAAATTTTTCTTTGTCTTGTGAGCTCTGGGTTGGAACTAATGACTTTAATTAACACAAGGAAAAATTTTCTTGACCGTTCCGATCCACGGATAATTTTCCTGAGTGGAAGTTAGCCTTCATGGGGGGGAGGGAAGGCAAATGTGGCGTTTGAGTTTAAAACAATACAAGGAGTGCGAATAAAGCAACACAATTAGGACTATACCATGAAACGAAGTGTTTATTGGCATGTATTTTTCATAAAATGCATCATAACGGTTATTGTAAGGGACGAAGTTGTTAATAAAATCTGGATGGACGTTTGAAATTAAACTCTTAAAAACGTTAATAGATGTTCTTCTCGAAGCTCACTCAACGACACAGTCTCGGGTTTAGTTCTATATCTCAACAAGAAAAGGCAGAATCCTCAAAAAACTGTTATTTCTATATGCATGTGTCGTACGTGTTATCGAGTCGTTCCACTAATTGATTAAAATTTACGGCAATTTACAATAGATTCGCTTTTGCCTGCTCGGCAAATGTTCTTTGCTTGCCTTGAATATATTACAAATTCTTTCCTAGTAATTCTTTGTGGTTTCCCAATATGTAACTGAAAGATTCCAGTATGCAGATCGTGCATAGCGAAGTCGCAGGTGCAATAATCCACAAAGAATACATATACGAAGACATCTCACCCATTGATTTTGCAACACAAGCTCTTGCTACTCGTTAAAATTACATGTTTTTGTTAAAATACACACTCTCTGAACTTTATCGAATTAATATTGGCAACTAGATCGGCAGCACAAATTTAACCCACCCTTATGTAAAAATTTTGTTATCTCCCAAAATCTGGAAGACATGTGACTAGCCTGGGCCGGGGACTTTCCTCCAGCGAGGCGCGTAGTGGAAAGAGCCTTGGTACGAGGTTGGACTGAAAGAAGTGAAGATACTGCATGTGTTCGAAAGAATTTGCATTGCTGCATGTGTGGTTTCTTTGATGCATGCTATTCGTGATATTCTGTTTGAATTCAATTATTCAGGAAGTCAATTTTGGTTTCTTCAGTGGTTATCTTTAGCCAATCCAGTTCTGCCGACTGAGATAACAATTTGCCGATTTGCTGACGATTGGGGGGTGTTCCACCCTGTAGCGCCGCCCCTGGCGACCTAATATATCCTTCAAGACTTCACCTCATTTTACACCAACCGTTAAAAGCAGCTTAATCTACTGCCTATTCCATGGTTCCAAATAAAAGATATTGCGTTTTTTATAAATGTAAAACTGGTTATTATGACTTAACACTTGAAGACTGTAATATACTAAACAATTCTAATAATCATCACACTCGCTTTAGCTTTACTGATTCCGACCAAACCGTTGCAGAACATCTTCTTTCCGAAACCTTCTTTCAATAGGATAGTGCCACTAAGGAACAGCCTGCCAGGAAAAATACAATCCTCTCACTCTATATTAAGTTGCCGAAATGTAAACTCTATAATCACTGCACTATAGTGCACGTTTTGATGTTAATAGGCCAAGGACTTGGAAAACGTTTCGCCCTAAATGTCGTTCTTATTTTATGTCTTGTTGTTCGTAGAAGCACGGACTTCATGTCCTCAAAATTCCCTAGATGTACACCTCGTGCTTACGCCATGACACTTGCTAGCAAAATGGCGTCCTGACAAACATAAAAACTTTTGCATTTTACTGCGGCTTGTTTGGATCGAAATTTGTGGATTAAACTATCAAGAGCAGTATTTGTTGAATGTCTAAAGTTGTTGAAGGCAATTAAAGTTGTAGAAAAGGTGTTGAAAGCTTTTTTGAAAGCAATCGCGTATTGCCAAATGACGAATTATCACGCGAGCGACACTTGCTAGGAAGATGGCGACCGTGGGACAACTTTTTTACTGAAGTTACACATCTGTTCTTGCTTAATGTTACTCCACATGATGAAAGTCCATTTCAGGAAAATGCTTGCTGCGCACTAAATTTTTAAGTTCCCCCCCTCAAATTTGGCACTCACAACGATAAATCATTGTTGCTGCTACTACTTTAACAAAAATTATACATTTTTAAAAACTATGGTTGCTACGATCTGCTTTTGAAAATATGACGCACTTCGCGCGACGAGCTTTAGAACCATCCGATTAAACTCAGAAGCTTCCGAAATATCACATTTCCCATGTTAAATGATCAAAGAACAAAACCGCACGTGTTCGCGTTTTTGACAGGTATTATATTTGCCGAGATATAAAGCAGATAAGTTGGCTCATCAAAAATTTGCAATAACGATAGAACAGAAGCCTATAATTTGAAAACTAAAGCATTAAAAAAAAACGCGAACAAAGTTTTGCTCCTCTGACGTTGTTCTACATTGCAGTAAAGTTTGGTAGCAATTGAATAAAACGTGCCCGTTCCATAACTCGTTTTGTGAGGACAACCGGGCTGATAATTCCTTCTTTGTAAAAGACAAAAAGTGATTCCGCGGAGATTTTCCGTTCTCTGTTATGTTTCTCCGCCCCCTGTCATCACTTCAAACTGAAGCCAATCAGGTTCGACTTATAAAGTGTGTTTTGGCTGGGTTTTATTTTGACTCAGCATCAATGATAAGGTGATAAGAAAGCGCACTTTATATAGTTATATATAAGATTGATCGCTTTTTAAACCGGCGTTTTACTTAGAAAGCAAATTTAACTGTGTTGTGTACGTGTACCGACAATATTACAGTGATATAGCTATATCTAAAACAAACAAGCCGCCCAATATTGAATACCACCACATATGTGTAACATGCACCCTGTGGTCAAACTTATCCACAAACTGTCAATCACAATTAAAACTTTCCCGGGGGAAAAAATTAGACTATAACATTTTCGGTTATAGTCTCGGTTGCATTTTAATATTTTCAAAAAATATTTGCGGAAATGGAAAGATCTCTAGTTCCTCGATATAAATCGATAAAAATGTAAAAAAGGACAAAATCAATGTTTTCATCATATGGAGTAACCTCAATCTATGGTAGAAGCGCATGTTACGCAATACGCGCGTGCACACGCATGCTTCGAGCTCCGTAAATCCTTGCATTTTGACCGTTTAAACCCGGGATTGAAGTAAAATTTACTGGAAAGTCGTAGCTAAGAAAACAGACTATATTGTTCTAAAGTTTGCGTGTGGATTCCGTGTTATTACTGGACGGGAAACGTATCGAAGTATCGTGATTATGGTGTTTTCAAAGGTTCTTGAAAGACATTCGGTTGAGGTTACGCACGCGTGATCGTCAACGTATTGTTTGGTGACGTTATTTTGATTACCTAATGAACTTTTCATTACGCTGTTCGCGCAAGTTCAGGGAGTTTTTGGTCATTTACGCGCGAAAATCATATTACGATAAATAAATTCTAGGCAAAATGGTAGAAGAACAAAAAATTTATTGAGCACTATTTGATTATAAATACACCAATAATTATATTAGGGTACATACACATATAATAATAATAATAATAATAATAATAATCTTTATTAAAATACTCAGATACATCTGTCTGAGTTTACAATCGAAAGGTAATTGATCTAGAGAGTTATATTTACAATGTAAGTTAGGAAGCGTAAAAAGTTTTAAAAAGTTTTAAATACATTAAAGTCTAAACAAAGTTATACAGACAACGATTTATGAACGACCTTTTGAATCTTTCTGTTCTCACTAAGGGGAGTTCATGCTCATGCCCTCTAGTAACCTACTTTTTTTCCCGGCATCAGTTCAAGCAATGCATTGTCCTCAGTTGATGTTATTTTGTTCCACAGTTTCTCATCTCTCTTATCACGTATTTCTTTAATGTGTGTGCGTTTTGATATATAATTAAAACATTCTTATGTGCACCTTTAATGAATTTATCTATTTGGTTCAAATATTTACCGTCATATGCACAACCCCACAGCTCAAAAGCAAAAGTGAATATCGACATAATTAGGCTATCAAACAGCAGATCTAATTGTTTAATTGATAGTCCATAGTATTTGCAAACTCTCATAATGTACATTCTTCCACTTGCTTTTTTGAGCATTTCTTCGAAGTGCAAATCCCAGTTGCACGGATTATCTTGTAGAGTACCTCCTAAAAGCTTTAGCCATGTTTTTCGCTTAATTGGAGGGATAAGCTCAGGCAAAACTACAGAGGTGTGTCTGCGAACAACCATTTCGTACGTTCTTTCCAAATTTAAGGGCATTCTATTCTTTTCCGCCCAATCCTGTAAACAGGCAGCTTCAGATCGAAATGTGTCACCACTTTCGTTGCCAGGCACTCCTAACGTCAAATCGTCAGCAAATTTGACTAACACATTACTAGGATCAGCAGTTTTAATATCATCGACCATTATCGAGAAAAGACCTGGGCCTAAAACGGTACCTTGAGGAACACCACCATTAATATATAAATATTCTGTAACAATTCCATCAACCATTACTCTTTGTATTCTATTTTCTAGAAAGCTAATTATCCAGTTCACCACATACGGATTAATGGGTAGCTTTTTAACTTTTTCAGACAAACGATCGTGAGGCACACTGTCAAATGCTTTGCTGAAATCGAAGGACAGCACTCTAACATAATTAGCGTTTTTATCCAGCCACTCTAGCCATTGATGTTGGGATTTAATCAGGGCCATAGTCGAGTTGTGACCCTTTTTATAAGCAAATTGGTCAGGATCAATGTTATTTCTTGTGATAGGTGCGATTTCAGATTTATACACGCACTTCTCGAATAGTCTCATGATGATGTCCGTCAGAGAGATTGGTCTAAACTGGTTGCACGAATTTAATGGTGATTCTTTAGGAAGTGGTTATAAATTAGCGGATTTCTAAATCTGAGGTACTTTGCTGGTTTTTAGGGACATGTTAAAAATTTCTGTGACAAAAGGAGCTAATTCAATAGCAAACGATTTCCAAAACCAATATGGCAGATTGTCCGGACCGGACAATCAATAGATCATGTTATACTACTTGAAAAACTAGCTTTCTATGGCGTTTCTCAACTTGAACTTGCATGGTTTAAATCCTACCTCTCAAATCGGCAACAACAGTGTTAAGTAAATGGCTGCCTCTCTAATAAAGGTGAAATAATTTGCGGGGTTCCACAAGGTTCCATACTTGGCCCGTTGTTGTTCCTAATTTATATCAACGATTTACCCAACTGTCTAAAGACAACAACACCCTGTCTATACGCAGATGATACCCAAATTTTCGCCTCTTCGTACGACTCTGTTGCGCTGGCTAATGATATAAACTCTGATTTAGAAAATGTCACAGATTGGTTAAATGTAAATAAACTCCAATCCCACCCTTCTAAGGCTAAGCTTATTGTCATAGGATCTAAACAAAATTTGACCAACAAAGTTGGTGAATTGTACAACAGCATTATCATGAACAATAACGTAATTTCACCTGTTGTCTCGAATAAATGTTTGGGAGTTGATCTTGATGAGAGATTGACTTTTGACATCAATATTGAAGAAATATGCAAGAAGATCTGTTCAGGCATAGGAGCATTGAGGAGAATTAAACCATTCGTTCCGCAGACCTCTCTTGTTACATTATACAAATCATTAATTCAACCGTATCTTGATTATTGCTCTCCCCTGTGGGATACATGCGATAAAATATTAAAAGATAAATTGCAAATATTACAAAATCGTGCGGCTAGGGTTATCACTGGAGCAAGATATGATGATAGGATTAGATCAAGTGATCTTTTGGAAGGTTTAGGATGGGATAATCTACATGTTAGGCGGGCTAAGTTGAAGAGTATCCTAATGTATAAAATCCTTAATGAAAATTGTTCGCCATGTTTAAGAGAAAGCCTTGTAAGACTTAGTGAACTTAATAGACGCCATAATTTACGAAATCAGGAAACGGATTTAGCACTTCCAAAACCAAAAACTAATTTTTTGAAGAGAAGCTTTAAATATAGCGCATCAATGCTGTGGAATAATCTTCCATTAGATGCAAAAAGAGCGACTTCGCTCAGTCAATTTAAGCGTAGTATTGCGGAACTGTCCTTTTAGAACCATGTTGACTTAATTATAGTTAACTCTCTTTATTTACTTTACTTGACTTTATTTTTCTCAATTTGTTGTTGGGGGGAGGTTGGGGGGTTCATATAATATTCCATATATTCTACTGTTTTATATATCACGCCCCTCCTGTAAATCAGCTTTTAGTTGTGCGAGGCTAGCGTGTTCTTGATTTTAAATAAAATTGATTGATGATGATGATGATAAAGAGCGTTTTTGATTCAGTAAAAGATGTTGAACTTCATGAATTGACAACGAAGGGATTCTTGTTCCTTCGGAGATTTGAAGAGGCTCGGGAGTCGTATAATTTGGGTCCGTATTCACACTTTGAAAATATTTGTTAATTTCACGAGGGTTAAGAGAAGCACTTACAGATACATCTTGTTTCTTTTTTCTCGAGGTAATGCTATTTACGTTAGACCACCAACTTTTCGATCCAGTTTTCTGGTTGCCAAACTCCTGTTTGACTGCACTTAATTGATTTTCCCGAATTAACTTGTACATTTTTTCTTGCAATCGTGTATTTGCTTCAGTATTTCCGTTTTGTATGGCTCTTTTCCTTTGATTCAGAAGGTGGTTCGCAAGAGGAGACATGAACGGAGGGTCGCGTAATGACGTTCTGACCTTAATTAATGGGAAGCTCTTATCGAATTTTGGCCATATTATTTCATAACATTTTAGGGTTATCTCATCTAGGTTATGACTATTCATAATTATCGTGTTCCAATCAATAAATTCAAGTTCACGAAGCATATTCAATTGATGATGTTGTCTCACATCTCTGAAATAGGAATTTGTCCTTATTGCTTTAACTATGTTTCGGGGGTATGTGATAACCATATCATGGTCGGATCTCACCAAGCTTTTTACAACTTTAACAGATTTCCAATAGTGTTTGGGACATTTGTAATAAAGACATCTAATATTTTTAGTCCTCTCGTAGGGGTCTGAACGAGTTGGGTAAATGAAAGTTGATTAAGAACAGATCGAATATTTCAATTGTTAATGTCACCAGCAATTATTATATTTGAATTCGGTTTAGATAACAATAGTTGTTCGCACGAGTCAATAAGGAATTCGATAAGGTCTTGCTCATTATACTCATAGTCAGGTGGGTGGTAAATAGTTGCAACAAAGAATTCAGAGTTTTGTGTTTTAATTTTTGTCCATAAACATTCGAATGGATTATCCAAATCAGGTAGTAGCTGCATTCTCCAATCATTCCTGCATAAGATCGCGACACCTCCTCCTCGACAGTTTGTTCTATCCTTTCTAATGATGGAAAAATTGGGAGGACAAAGGAGGGAGCTAGGTATAGTCGGTTTGAGCCATGTTTCGGTTATACAACAAACATCTATGTTATTGCACTTAATGTCTGCGCACAAAGCAGGAAAAGCATCAGGTTTAGCAATAGATCTGGCGTTCAACACTGAGCAACATGGAATTAAGCGTGGTTGACTCGGGGCAGTTTTATTTACTTGTATAGGTCTCAAAGTGCTGCAATGCCTAAGAGATTTTATATGACTGTGCTGTCTTGTACGTGGAGTAATTCTGACGGGTATCTTATTTAGTTGAGTGGTTTTATGGGTAACATTGTTAAGGAAGGGACAAACAAACTTGGATGAATCGTAATCACCTGTCAACGCCTGGGCGGTCTGGTGTAATTCATCATCAGGGGTGAAGGGTACTACTGATTTGGGTAACTCATTGGGAGCTGTATGGTTGGAGGATAGGGATTTGGATATTGTGACCATATAGGGGTTGGAAACAAGGTTCCCCACGCTGAGGACAAGGTTCCTCACGCTGAGGACAAGGTTCCTCACGCTGAGAACAAGGTTCCTCGCGCTGACGACAAGATTCCCCACGCTGAGAACAAGGTTCCCACGCTGAGGACAAGGTTCCTTACGCTGAGGACAAGGTTCCTCACGCTGAGGACAAGGTTCCTCACGCTGAGGACAAGGTTCCTCACGCTGAGGACAAGGTTCCTCACGCTGAGGTCAAGGTTCCTCACGCTGATTGAACAAATAAGAGAAGGATTAGCCGTTATGCATGATGATCATGTTTTGAATCACTCAAGCAAGAACTCGTCAGAAATAATACAAAGCAAGGAAATAAAAAATGTAAACGTTAACAGCACCTCCAGTCATGTAATTATTGTACATGACACAACCTCCTCGGCTATGGAAACAATACCCAATCAAGACAAACAATATGACTACAATGTCCATTGCCCGGTTGGTAATAGCGATCGACCTTTAACAGAGATTATCGAACTGTGTGAAGATGTAATTAGTATTGATCCAGATAATAGTTTAAACAAAACCCTGCAGGAAAACTGTTCATTACTTAAAACCCCAACAGAAGACCAACAAAGTGTTACATTAAAATCAACCCACTGTAATGAAGCAGCGGAATCAGGGTGTGAAATTAATACTATTACTAATCTGGCGAATGGCGAATCTCTTGCTCCCGAAACATACCAATCGAACGAAGAATTGTCCCATTCCATGCCAGCGAAAACAGTTAATTCAACTTTAAAAACGCAATCAGAAAAATCGGGTCCCTCCGAACAGGTCAGGGCAAAAAGCAGTGAATTAGTTTTCGGACAAACGCCAAAACAAAACACCGCAAATAAGGTCAAAGGTCATAAGTCAATCAAGTGTACAAAACGTTTATCGAAAGAGATATATTACGACAACAATATATCTGGGCTAATCGATAAAAGTGAAATAAATTGCAACCCAGGGGTGCCTGTCAGACATGCGGAGTGGGTGGGACGGCTACCTTTGATTGAATCTTCATATAAGTCTGCATCGTTAAGAAAATCTACGACTTTAAACGATTTCCAGCGATCGTGTAAGAGAAATTTTCGGAAGAGTCGTTCAAACCACCGGGACTGGCAGAGGTACCTCGAATTTGTTCGGAAAACGTTACATCCTCGTGTGACTCGGCCTCCAATTCGCCTACGCACAACAAAGTAATTCCTATTGTTATGTCACAATGTCGGACCATAAGTCATCGCATTGCAAGTTACAATAATATACGTAAACGAACTAGTAATCCATGCAACCTGGTAAATGTCCCTGTAACTACTAGTAACCTGGAAAATCACCGAGACTACTGCGCTGTTCCATCTCTCTTTGTTACCAATTTGAGAAACAGAAAAACAGTCCATGCGTATAATAATTTAATCCCACTACAGGCTAGTGAGAACCACACTAGCAGAAATACGTGTAGTACCCCATTAACCCCAAACGATCAGATATCAGTTCCCTCTAGTCTCAACATTGTTCACTTAAACATTCGCTCGTTAAGAAATATCGTTCACCTTACTGAGGTCAAGGAACTAGTAAAGTTAAATAATATCGATGTCCTCACAATTTCCGAATCGTGGTTAAATTCCTCAGTAACGAACCGTGAGATTGCAATCGACGATTATAAGATCCACAGACTTGACCGGTTACACAAGAAAGGTGGAGGTGCCTGTGCTTATATCAAGAAGAATATTAAAGCAACTGTCTTAAAAGATTTATCGAAGGTGTCAGTCTCTAACTTTCATCAACTATGGATAAATCTACAATGCCAAAAAAACAAATCAATAATAATTTGTGTAACCTACCGACCACCTGACACTTCTCTAAATTGTTTCGAAGATTTACTTAAGCCAAATTATGTTCAGGCTTTAACTTTGAATAAACAGA